AGCATGCTACTAAGTGGGATGGTTGATCAGAGACTGATTGAGGCCTTCATACCCATTTTTAACTCCAAAGGTAAAAATAGGATCAAGATATAGAAACTGCTGTTTCAGTATATGAAAAACATCTTCAGTCACCTAAGAAGTAGAAAAGCATGTGAAATGCTACAGTAGACCCAGACCTCTTACAATGCTGAAATAGCTTAGAACTTGAAAGGAAAAAAAAAAAAAACCCTTTCCTCAAAATTCTATAAAATGCATCAAGAATGTCTCTTAAAGGCCCAAGGATCAGCAAACATCATCATAAGTCGCAGTTATAAATACTTTACTAGAAGGGACAGCTTCATATTTTAAAAAGCTACATCCTATAACTATCTGGTAAACTACACTTGAACATAGTTTAAAAAATCAACTCATGTAACTCCATGGAAAACAATACTGTAAATGAAACTACCTGGCTTAGGTCATATACATTATAACATATAATAAGGTTATTTCACTGTTTCTTCAGTACTTATGAAATCTGCACAAAGAAATTTTTTCTGCCTTTTCTGAAGTTAATTGTTGCTGTAAGTAAGTTGCTTTCTACCCAGGATATCCAGAATGGTAAAGTAACAGGACCAGCTATACAGCCAAAGATTACACTGAGCTAGAAGCACATAGGAGATGGGTCATACCTAGGAAACAATGTATGAAATCAAAAGAACAAATATTATTATGTGAGCACACATTCAGTGTAATTTAAATATTTCTACAGTAGAGCGTAATGTTTTCCTAAGGTAAGTGCCAGTAATCATTTGAAGTACAAGCCCTCTTAGTAAGCTGTTGGCTGAGTGATGGACATGTGCATATGGTAAATACATCAGAAAGGAGTAAGTTATGTCACACAATAGGGTGGAAATAGCCAGAAAGGCAAGCTTAGAAATTCCTGATAATGAGATTTATTGAACTCCAGAGTAAAGTCTTTGAATCTACCAGCAAAATTTATAACATAGGAAGAATCAAACTAACCTCAAGTAACTATATGCCAGAAAAAGCCCACACCCTTTAAAGGAATACACGAAAATCCACATCTCACCAAAGTAACATAGCCCACATAACAGTACTGGTTAGTGTTCCTTCAGTACGCTGCTTTGAAGAACTTCACAGATAACTATAATAATGAAATATCTCTCTAGAAATAATACAAAGAGGCATTCGCAGCTTGACACAAACTAAGCTGCTATAAAAACTAAGAAATAGTAAACAAAGAGTATTATTTAAACCCATAAGAAGTAACTGACAAGCACTGCTATGAAGACTGAAATTCCTATGTCAAAATAAAGCTTGTCAGTTGCACTTCCACATTGTGTGTGCCCAAGCGACTTGGAAATTTTGAGAAAGAGAACTCTTTCAAATATGTTAACAGTGGTCACAATCTGACCACATGCATTTTGTATTCTGTCTCTTTTTCCCACCTCTGAAATGAGCAAATAAACTCATATATTTAAATTTCTATTACAGAAAATTTCCTAACTACTGTCAGGTCAGCACTGTCAAGAAAATTGTTGTATCTATATGTCAGGATACTGTGTGCAGGGAATGATAGATACATAGAAAATAGTAAGAAAATAGATATAGTAAAAATGGGCAAGACATTTTCTATGACAAGACCTACCAGAACAAGGAAAAACAGAGTATTAACTCAAATCTGATGGAATTGCATCTCCCAACTTTTTTATGGAGCTTTGCTTTATCCTAAAATAGTGAGATAATGACAAATCCTAATTGGAAACGGGGTAGATAGGATGTTTGCAGAATCTTCTGCCAAAATGAATGCGCTAATGTGAAACATACTGATTGCTGATTGTACAGGAAATTTTTTAGCTATAGTGGCAAAATTAGGTGACATGTTTGTTTTGGGGTTTGTAGCTTCTAAAACCATCACCCTCCTAGGGATGTTGCTTGTGGAGTTGGGGCAAGATCTGTTTCTACACCAGGAAATAGCATAATAGCAGTGTGGACCACAGAATCATAAACTGCTAAGGATCTAAAATGGATGCAAGTAAAACATCACCCATTTGCTGCACCCAGATGGTTGTGTGTGGTTATGTGAGTCATCTGACACCATCAGGTTGTTGGACTGGGTTTGTCTGCCAAGACTGCTGTAACAAAGTAGCATAGGTTGGGTGACTTAAACAGAAATATATTTGCTCACTATTCAAGAAGTCAGAAGTTCAAGATCAAGTTGCCAGTTTCTTCTGGGACCTCTCCTCTTCACTTACAGACAGCTGCCTTCTCAGCATGTCTTTACATGGCCTTTTACTCTGTGTCCATGTGCTCTGGTATCTTTTTATAAGGACACTAGTGGATTAGGGCCCCATCCATATGGCTTTGTTTATCCACAATTCCCTTAAAGCTGCTGTCTCCAAATAGTCACATTGTTGTTTAAATTCTTCAACCTATGAATTGGGGAGGACACAATTCACTTTACAACAGACATAGTATATAGGACATGTTCATAAGGACCTTAGGCCATGTGAAACTGATATACTGTGCTTTCTTGTGTAACAAGAGAATAATTAGTGAGCACTTTAGTAGGAAAGTTGAAATACAGTGTAGGTCCTTTGCACCCCCCATACCTCTGAAGAGAGTCACACTCCTGGTAGAAAATTCAGGAAAGGTTTCCTGACTTCACATTGATAAATCCTAGACACTTTGTGCTATCTAGATAGGTATCTACACAAGTGTTGCACATAATGATACAAACCTGATGTGAAAGCTCCTTACTAATCTGTTAACAAGTCTGATTTCACCTGCTTTTTTTTCCAGTAGCCACCTCTGTCTTCAATTAAGTATACACTGGCCTCATAGTTTCATAAAACACATTGATGTTGTATACCAGAACCAGGGGGAGTGTTATAAGAAGCAATGCCACACAGCTTTCAACCTCCAGGCTGTTTTAGGTATCCTGCAAGGAGCGTGTGGGTCTACAGATGACCCAGGATAATTGGTGTCATCGCAGCCAATTGTCATAGTACTACTATCCCAAAATGTGTCTCCTGTTCCTCCCCTACCTCTCAACTGCTCCCGTTCCACATTTGATGCTAGACAAAGATGGGATGGCCTATAAATGTATATAGTTTTGCGGGGGGGGGGGGGGAGTAAACTGTGCTTAAGTTCTGATTCTATCACAAGTCAAAGTCTTCAGTTTCTCTGTACTTAAGGTTTTTCATTGAAACCTAGATGTTAAAAAAATTGAAATGAATGTATCTCCTCAGGATTATCATAAAGATTCTATAAGCTAGCGTACATAAGCAGCTAGCCCAGTACCTAGAACTTGGCAGTCATTCAGAACATATGAGTTAGCTTGTCCTCTTTTGCTAGTACTAGGTAGGGAAATAAAGATTTGAAGAAGGAAGAATGAAGGGAAAATGTAAAAGTTCCGCTTTTACAAAAGGAATTTGGCATCAATTTACTGAAACTTCTGTTTGTAAACTTTAGAGAACATCCTGCATACTATGTTATAAATTACGGACTGTGCTAAGCAGTACAATAAAGATTACTTTTGTACCATTTGAATTCAGTTGTCATGTCTGCTCTTATGCCATATAGTGACAACACTTAATTCCAGGTTGATCCATTAAAATCTCCTAGTTAATGTGTTAGTATGTATTGTAAAATTATTAAAAGTTAGCACAAAGAATTTTGTTAACCATTATGGAATCCCTTGCTGAAAGCTCTGTCTTCTCATCCCTCATATTAAGGATCTAAACTCTTAGATCGGGTACCTGCCTATAGCTTTCATTTCAACTTCCCTCTTCCTTCTTTCTATAGGCTCTTACCTCCAATGCCAGGCTCCCAGCAATGCGAACTATCTTGGTTTTCTCTTCCACGGACTCTCACATACATGGCATAGTCTGCTTGTGACATACTTTCCATCTTTTCACCTGGCTAAATTCCTGATTATCCTTTATTTTCCTGCAAAGCCTAAATAAGGTACCCCTTCTAGAAATTATCCTATTTGTCATTGTGTATTTATCCCCTGACATAGTACCACAAGCATTGGGATTTCAATAAATACTTGTTAAAGAGAATGAATCAGTACTCAATCTCAAGTGAAAGGATTGTAGTGATAATTTTCTGGTATATGTATAGTTCTATAACCTATACATTTTCAAGTCCCATTTAAGTAGGGAAAAGTAGAGATAAGTTATTCTTAATAGATGCATTAAGTCCTGCTTTATACAATGAATCACATTTAAAATGGGAAGAGAACTGCCTCCTTGTAACTGCTATGAGGCAGTTTTAAATACTTGGGCAGCCACTGACAGTCATTTGATTTGGGTTTTTCAAAAGATAAAGCAAATCAAATAAAGGACTGCTGTAACAACACAGGATTCTCAGTGAGAGACTTTTCTTCTTAAATTTATATGCTTCTAAAATATGCTTACAAGGGTGTTTTTAAAGGTAATCAAATGGATTATATTGTTTATATAAAATGTGAAAAATATGTTTGTAGAGAAATATATCTTAAAAAAAGAGACATGAACAGTAAACCAGGGGATCACCATGTAGTTATGTAATCAAGTTGTTCCATTGAGTTTTTGCTTTGTGTAAAATTGTTGACCTTCTGAAGAATTTTTTTTTTTCAGATGCATCTGCTTAGCCCAGAGAAGGTATATAAAGGTGTCATATAAGGCAATTCTAAGAAAGTGAATGGTGTGAGCACTTTTTTTTATTTGCTTCACAAGTAATTTACTAAAAAAAATTGACATCTGCTATTTTGAAGTTAATCTTAGTGTATTGAATGCTCTTAACCATTTCTCAACCCCACAGTCTTTTATCTTGCTTCTCCTGCTGTGTTCCCACCAGCCCTGATCCCATTAGCAAACCTTGAGCCAGCCTCAGACTTACCAAAGTACTGCTTTGGTTTCAGCTGCTCTTCTGCAAGAGGAAGTGAATGTTGGGGGTTTTCTCTGTGGTACAGTTGTGATAAAGCTGTGGTGGTCTTATCTCTCTCTTAGGTAGTGGCTCTTTATGACTACACAGCGAATCGATCAGATGAACTAACCATCCATCGCGGAGACATTATCCGAGTGTTTTTCAAAGATAATGAAGACTGGTGGTATGGCAGCATAGGAAAGGGACAAGAAGGTTATTTTCCAGCTAATCATGTGGCTAGTGAAAGTAAGTTTTATGCTCCCTTCCTGGTTTACTAATATGGTCTAACTGATAGTCCAAGATTTTATCATGTTCTATATACCCTTTAATTTACTGTCTTTGTAACTTGTGCATATACTTACCAATGGGTAATTGCTTTTCATGTACATGATACAAAAATAAATAAACAAGAAACAAAAAAGCAGGGCACCACTCCACTCGAGAACTTTCACACTCAGATCAGGATAGCTGCTGCATGGACTTCTTAGTCTAGGGTTTGTCCAGCTAGCCACCAGCCTCCTCGGGCCCCTTGTTCCTGCCACTACTTCTTCACACACAGCCTGTGGGGGGGGGGGCCCTCATGTTACATGACTCCTCAGTGACAGGTGCCCCAGCTCCCTTTCTTTTACTGTGGATTCCTCAGTCCCAGCTGGTATGTGCTAAGACAAAACTGCAACCTGCTACTTAATTTTCAAGTAAATTAGACCCTCGTTTTTTTTAAAAGGAAAACAAAATGAATTGCAAACACATTCTAAAGAGTTCCTGAAAGTGGCGGTCACTGACATTCTGGCATAAGAATTCTTGGCCTTTAGAGATGAACCTTTCTTAAAGTCCTTAACAATGAGTCCTACTGAGGTGAAAATGGACCACAGAGAGGCTGAAAATAAAAACTAATAAAGAGGAGTATAGCCATACTTCTTCAGAAGAATGCTTCATGTCAACAATTAACTTGATGGTGTGGTAGGAAAAGCACCAGACCAAAGGCTCTGAAAGACCAACTTGTAACCCGAGCCCTTGGGGCCTGTTTCTGCCTATAAAATGAGAACTTCAGCTTATCTCTAATCTCTCTTCCAAAAACACTACAGTTTTGTAGTTCTGACTTAAAGTGTGCTATAGGCAGCCTGATTTCGAGTATGTATTAGAATAAGTCTTTTATTTCTGCAATTATTAGATATGTAATTATGTAATAAATGTAATTATTATAAATTCTAGTTGATTTGCAGTATGCGCAAACTTCATTTAGCCAAAACTATGGCTGAATACAAATACTGTTGATTCCTAACCTAAGTTCTGAATTTCAGAACAAAAGAAATGAAGGAAAGGAAGAAGAATTTCTCCCATGTCTACTGGGTGCAAGTGTAAGCCCAGTAGTAATATTTCCCTTTGGCCTGCTCCCTTTGGTATTCTGTTGGGCCCTAGTCAACCTTGACACTTCCCATTATGCCCCGCCCTGGTCTGTGCTCTCAGTCTCCTAGGCTTAGCTGTGGCTTTCGGCAAACCCCTCTTCTGGGAAGTGCTAAGTGTCTCAAAAGTAACCCCATTCTATCATGACAACATTCTTAATTTCCTCTATGTACTTCTTTTCATTCGTTTTAGCTAAGTGGTTAATGATTTTTAACTGTTAAATCTATGATTAATAGAGCACAACATAACAGAGAAAACTTAAAGTGGTTTTTTCTCCAGTCATCACCCTTAAACACGGCACAGCCAACTTTCAGAACATCTCAGATATCAAGTTCCTTCCTCCCCATCCCGGGGATATCTTTCCTACAGTATCACTAGCTGGCCTTCAGCAGAAGCAACTTCTGGTTTTAAATCAAGAGCTGCCTGTTTTGCTATAGTGACTCCTGTGTATATCTGTAACTCTTACTAGCTGCTGTAATTAATTGTTTCTTCCACCTACACTGGAGACATCTAAAATCTTTTTTCATTTGGCTACATGAAGAGATTTTGTATTTCCAAGCAGGGTGATAGTAGGCTTGTGAATCTAGAAATGCTGTGGATGCTTTTCTCAATGATTTAAAACCCGTTAACGTTTGTTTTCTTCCATAATAACCAAAGTAAGAGTACGTGCACAAATCAATTCCATGTTTGCAGTAGTCATGACCCCATGACTGCTGTAATTACTTTTATATCCCAGGAGAATTGATGTTTTCTGATGGCATCCATCACTGCTTTTTGAAAACTCACCTTGTAAAGGTCAGAACAAACAGAAAAGATTCTCAGAAAACAGAGTATTAAGACTGAGTTATCCTTTAATTAGGGATTATTTTCATTTCCTTTTATTCTACATTTTAAAATAGGAGTTTAAAAACCTCACCTACCCAGTTTCCACATTAGACAAAAACACAACGCATATTCCTTTCTAAAAATAGCAGGACAAATTGCCCTTTATCTAAAGTCAGATATGCAAAGCAAAGGACGTCAGTGTATGTGTGTGTGTGTGCAAACAGAATCTCTTCCCCACTATTAATTGAGAGCCCTGTTCACTAAGAATATAGCACAATAAAGGATATTAGTACTCAATTATTATAAAGGACTTAATGTCTTTTATATGTTAGGCCACTGGAAAGAAAAACAATCACCTTTTCTTAATCATATCTGACATCCTTTCCAATCATAGATGAAGAAAGCCAATTAATTATCTCTTAATATTAGAAGCTTGATCAGGAATATTTTAAGAATTTCTATTAATACAGAGTTGTCTGAGTCCTTTAGTTATCCAAATTAGATTTTCTTTTTAGCCCTTTAATGTTCCCACATAAACTTTTAATATTAAACACTGTGAATAGATTAAATAAATTATGCAAATTATAATCTTAGATTCAGCCCTGTGAATATATTCAGTATCTTGTTGGGCCCTAGTCCTGTGCTTCTTTATCTCATCCCAACCTTCCAGATTATTCTTCTTCCACACCTATGCCTGGCAAAACCCTACCTATTCTTCAGCCTCACCAACCTACCATTTCTTCCTTAGGCATCTGCTGTCCCCAGTCAGACTTTACTGTTTCTCCTGCAAATAATGTCACATGCATATTGCATGTGACAAACACTATTGCATATTACAATATCTTGGAAACATACCTGTCTCTGACGAGATTGTAAGCTCCTTAAGAGCAAATACTGCTTTATGATCCTCTTCATAGCTCTTCAACAGTACCTAGCAGATAACCTTGCATATCACAGGTTGCTAGTAAATGTGTACTAACATAAAATGAAAGGATCTTCATGACCACATAGTAAATGAAATGACGCCTCTACATTTCTGAAGTTCAAACTTCGGAGCGTGTGTTCTTTTGGTAACTGATGTGTACGGCTTCAAATCACTGTAACTATAAACCCAAGGCAGCTTATTGTAACACCAAGGAAGTGAATGTCAGTTTCTTTTTCACAACTGCTCCCCTCCATTGCTATTTTTCCCTTCACAGAATAGTATTCCTCAAATTAATTACGTGAATTCCTATTCAATTCCAGCACTGTATCAAGAACTGCCTCCAGAGATAAAGGAGCGATCTCTCCCTTTAGCCCTTAAAGAAAAACACAAAAAGGAAAAACCTTTCTTGGCTCCTCAGAAGGTAAATGTTTTAAAGAATATGTGTTGCATGTATACTTTGATTTTCACTCTCTCTAGATAAAATATTACTTGTTTTTCCTGCTTCTATTCCTTATTGTTTTCATTATTACTTCTTGTGATATTGGTGTCGACTTTATGAAATCTGAAAAGCAAACAGTTTTCATATAAAGAAACTCAGAAGGCACAGAGTATTAAAGCAGCCCTAGGATGCAGTCCAGAGTGGAGCTCATAGCTTTTGAGTGTTGTGCTCTTTCCATTTCCACTTGTTTCTACAGCTGTGATGTGGATGCGGTCTTCTCCAGCTGAGGGTACACCTCATGCCAAAGTGACTGGAGTTCACAAAATAAAGATGCTGTACTTCTCGGAGCAATCCTTTTACTTGTTAATAATTTAAAGTGTCTTCTTTTAAATTTAATATGAATATGTTATTCTCCAGAGAAACATGGTTTTTAGCCTGTGCCCCCAAGTTCATCATGAATCTCAATCAGTGTTCTCCTAGTGTTACTAGTACTTTGGTAGGAAAGTTTTACAAGCATTATATTATCATATATTGCTTATTAAACTTGTCTTATTATGTGATAATTGTTCTTGACCTAGAATAACTTTGCTTCATGAACCAGCAGGTTTTTTTTTTTTTACAAATACCACATCATTATGAAGTTTCATGTATCATTCAGTCATCCAACTTATATATGTTGACTGATGACTTCATTATGAACACTTTACTAGTCTTCACTGAAAAAGGATTAATAAGCCAGGCACTGCCCTTGAGGGAGCTCCCAGACTAGTAGGTGAGACACAGGCAGCAGGCAGGTAATTCCAACAGACCATGGAAAGAATTGCAATGACGACTGTGCAAGATGCACTGGGAACATTCAGAAAGAAATCCTCTAAGTCACCTGGCAGTAGGCCAAGAAGACTTCCCAAAGGAGGCCATGCTTGAGCTGAGGTCTATAGGGTGGAAATGTGTATGCTAGGTGGAGGATCTTAGCGAAACACATTCCAGCAGAAGGAATAACTTGAATAAGGTGTGGGATGGTATGCTTTTTGCTTCCCAGGGAATAAATATTGGGGAAGGTCTGAAGATACTTCTGGTTGTCTCAACAGCATCTTGGAGGTAGACATCATGGACAGATGCTGTTAAACATCCTAGGATGCACAGGCCACACGCCCTGAGCAAAGATTAACTGGACAAAAGGGTCAGCCACACTGACCTTAGAGCAGAAGTTCCTGAGTCTGGTTAGTGGGAATGAGGATGTAGATGATAGAGACTATCATTCTGCAAATTCACATTTTGTTCTGCAAAACAGAAAAGAAGATCTACTTAAAAATCTAGGGTCAAAGGAATAAATTGGGAGGAAGGATAGTGACTGTTACAATAGCTGTAAGAATAGTAAGAGCAGGAGCCCATTTGGGACATGTAAAAAGGATTCCTGAGTCATCCTGGGAGCTGCTATTTGGATACCTGTAAAATGGAGTAATTGTGGAGTTGGATTTTTTCCTCCAGTGCTCAGCATCTAGGGCATAGTGGAGAAGGCAGATTCAGTTAGACACATAGTGGAAGGTGCTTGGGTGTGATAGAGGATAAGAATAAGGGACTTTGTAACATTGGCAAGAAAGTTACTGGAGTGACTCACTCTAGAGTATAAACCAGACTGAAAAGAAGGTAGAATCTGAAAAGTGACAGAAAGTGAGGCTGCCAGATGCAGTCAGCACCCACACCCACAGAGAGGCCTCTTGTCATACAGTAAGTGACTTAAAAACTGAAACTGTGGCTTATAGAGCCAGACACTCTTGCTTACTTAATATTTCAGATGTCAACATCTCAAGGTTTATTATTAATTCACTGAGTGTATTAAGAGTGGAAGGGAAATCAAAGGGAAGTTTATTAGAATCGAGCTGGCAGGGGAAATGGGATTCAGTGTGTTAAATTATTGTTCTCTTAGACATTCAAATTACTTGATGATTGTAAGAGTTGGGATGAAGTGGACACTGTTAAGGCCTTGATGTCCTTAATTGTTGTTAGTGCTGAGGTCTCAACCCTGGTGGCTTCACATTGAAATCACCTAAGAAATTTGAAAAATATTGATGCCTGTCCCCACACCCACAAATTGATTAAATAGGTCTGGGATGGGTTGTGGACATGGGTAGATTTCAGCAGCTTTCCAGGTGATCTACCTTGTAGCCAACACTGAAAACCATTGTGTTAGAAGTGACCACAAAGTGTGAAGGTCACAGGCACACGTAAATAGTGGCTGTTACATCCAGCCATCAGGACCTCCAGGAGGAGGGCTCTGAAAGTCTGCTAGCCTAAACCAGTAGCGCAGAACTAAGAGCAGGCCAGAGTGCTAATTCCAGTCCCTGAGGCTGACAGATGGTTGGTGTGAGAGCATACAGCCTATGCTGCAAAGAACTGAAAGAAACATGGTTTCTCAATAAAACGTTGGCTTCAAATACACAAGGATGTATGCTGGTGGTGGTTGTCCAGAGGACTACAGAGGATAATATAGTTTAAAAGGCTGGTAAGCAATAGGACTATGGGCAAATGCTATTCATGTAATATTATCCTGTTTGAAATTCACCAGATATAAGAATTTTGGAAGTCTTTACTATAAATGTATAACCTAAAGGCATATAATGCAGTAAAAGCCTAACTCTGGTGTGGGGAGCTTCTTTGACAGCTAAACAGTGTTTGTAGTCTCAGTCAGAACCGTGTGAGTGCCATGAGAACATGAACTTACAGCGGCTTGCTGGTTTCCCTGACTCCAGAACATGCTGCCCGCTGACACTGGGATTACCTAGCCCCCACAGAGATGCACTTCTGTCTAATGGTCTTGAATTAATTGTGCCCCAGCCAGAGAAAATGTAAGGAACGCTATCACTATCTTACTCGCTACCTGTGGAGCTGGTGAGACTGCAGTTGATTTTTTTTCAATTTTCTGTGCTTTTTTAATTCTTACAAACTGACTACTGTGCTTTAACCACACCTTTAGATTCATTTCCCAGAAAACAAATATTTCATACTTGATCCTTGAAGTCAGCTTTGAACCAGTCCCATTGTTGCCGAAACCCTGATTTTAATAGATCTCAAGGTGTACACATGCAAAACAAAATATTTAAAAATGTAAAATTGGTAAAACAGGAGAATAGCGGGGCATAGAATCCATTTGGATAAGGAAGTAAGAAAGTTCTCCTGAAGGAGAAGACTCCTGCCTTGGGCTGAAGTTCCATGCATGAGTTTCTTTAAGAATGTGCTTTGATTACTTTATTTGAACTCAGGTGTTAGATAGAATCCTGTTTGTCTTTCCTCTTAGGGATGTAACATGTATAGTTCGACAGTGTTTCACTTCCCTGTGGGAGAAAGTAGAAATGCAATGATCTGCGTTCACGTAGAAAAAGAAAAGTCCCTGAGAAGCGTAATGTTGTCCCAGCTGACAAGAATGTCGTGGGCACACTCTGGGCTGTGAGCGCTGCGGCCAGCTCTTCAGAAACGTGCGGCCTGGCTTTTGTGCCCTCTGGGGTAGTTGCATTACTTCAGTTTAATTACTTTATGACACTATATATGGTTTTATTTTATCAAACCCTGCCTTATAAGCTGCCTACAAATTCTATCAGAAGTTTAATTTTATGAGCAAGTTTTTTTTTTTTTAAGATGTATTTATTTATGCTCACAGAACTGGGGTACAGGCCAGAGGTGGGGTGGGTGGAGGATTCACCAGAGACAGAGTTGGGAGCAGAACAGGCAGATCTACTGAAACACACTGCTGAGGGGATTAGCGGTGGGATCTCTAGTGACTAGTGGGTCAGCTCCCTAGCAGGGGGTTCGAACTCGTGCTGCAGTGGCTTTGGAGAGCTTCATAATGCTGCTTTAACCCGTTGCCCCACCAGGGAGAGCCCACAAGTTTCATTTTCTTTATCTTGTATATGTTTAAAAAAAAACAAAACATGAAAAGTAGTCTCTGGTAAGTGACTAGAATTTGGTGCTGAAAGATGCCCTAAGTTCATAGAATTATAGACATTGACAGGAACCTAAGAGTTCAGTCACTGGTGATGCTAGTCAACTCTGTTGCACCGATGAGGACATTAAGTTCCAGAACATGTTTTGAGGTTCCTTCAGCATGACAATCCTAATTAGGAACTTAACCTCCTTTTCTCAGGCCAGTGTTGTTTCTCCTCCACCACCTATTGAGGGATGCAGACAGCTGTATCTGCACAGCTTGCCGCATTTTGTGTCACACTACTTTTTTGCTTCTCTCTTTTATGTTTGTTTCATTATACCCTTCTGCATGTGGAAGTCTTTAGAATTATATTCTTTGTACTTTTAAGCAGAAAAAAGGAAAGAAACCTCAATAGTTTTCTTTGTTTTTTTAATTATTTCTATTCAAACTATTGAATAAGAAGTAAAATTACACCCTTAATAGCTTGGCAGCTGCTAAATCTTGTAAGTTCTTCCAAGTGGAACACACCTGTTCTGTTGCTAAATGTGCCAGGTACCTTCCGATATTTCATATGGTTCACTGAAGTGCTCGTGGGTGATGGCAGCATTTGACTGTTCTGCTGCAGGAAGAGAGATTGAGTCTTGAGTTATTCTCCTCCATAGACATAAGAGTGCCCAAACACTTACAATTATCTATACATGGGGGGAGTAAAAGTAGGAGGATGTTTTCCTCAAGACTTTCCATCACAGTGTGCTATAAAATTTGCATCTGGTCAAAAAGAGAATATTGGTGCTATCAAGGAAGAAAGAAACTCAGCAACTTTGAAAGACTTATGTTGTTGATCTTGGCCCATCTGTGTACATATTTTGGATTAGCCTGTTTCATTCATTTTGGGGAGGGGAAAACTTGTTAAAATTGTTAGATTTTTAATTATGTTTGATTATCGAAATGATATATGCTCAGGATTTAAAAAGCAGTCAGTAAAGAATAGTGTAAATAAAAATAAAAGCCCTCAGTCTTGTTAGTAGTCACGTTCATGCTAAACAGTTTCTTACATATCCAG